TATTTCTATTATGGGACCAATTTCCTTATCTTTTGCTTCTTGTACTTGTCTACTGTAGAGGAAAGTCTTATGGATATCCATTGTGCCTTGTTTACATCTTTTTGGGGGATAATGGAGACACAAAGTTAATGCAAAAGCTGAAGGTCTGGCACGGAGAGCTTTCATCCACAAAAGAGAGGGATCCCGCCTCCTAGGAAGAAGCCCTTTTTTGTCTTTTTTGTGTTTTTTTGTGAAATTCTTTCCTTGCTTTGAAGCAAAAGATTTAGTTTCTGGGATACAGATACTTGACTGCCCTACTACAGGTTCTACAGATATTTCTGGTTTTTTAATAAGGACACTTAGGTCAATGTTTTGATGTATTTCTTCAGAAGGCCACATTTCAGTTAAATTGAACCTGGAATTGTCTGTTGTTTCTTGAGTTTTATCCACATCAATGGTTTCCGCAATTAAATCTGAAAGGGATAAATTTTCAAGTTCTCTTACAGGAGAAACAGAGTGTGCCAGAGAAGAAAGAGATCCTGTTAATTCTGGCATCCCACCTGAAGCTTGATGTTGACTAACTAGTTGTGACAATGATGATGTTCCCAAATTCACATCTGTAAAATTCATAGGTGACTTGTTATAAAGATCAGACAATGAGTAAAAGTGGCTTGGGTTATTACTTCCCTGGTGTTCTTCAGGTGATGGACTTCCATACTTTAAAAATGGTAAACTATCCATTTCTGGCCAGGGGGTATCCTGCTTGGTACTTTGCAGAAGTGAAGAAGAATTTCCAAAAATATCTGTCTTTCGGTTGAGAGCATGACTTATTGTACTATCAAGTGCTAATTTCCCTAAAGCATTTATTAAGCCAGGAGGACTATCCAAACTTGCCTTATTAGTATTATCTGAAGTATTTATGACACCACATAGCACACTAACTGGAAGATTTAAAGAATCAGTCACATTCTGCTTCAGCAAGGATTTTAAGTCTTGTGTTTCCTTGCACTCCAACTGCTTCCAAGAAGAATTTCCAGGTGGGTTATTTTCCAGTAATTCAACACCCCACTTAACACAAGTGTTGCCTTCATTGGTAGAAAACAAACTTACTGTGCCAGTACTGTACGGTAGATGCTCTGCTGCCTGTTTATCACAAGATTCATATAATGATTCTTTACAAAAATCTGTATTGAAAGAAGACAGAACTCCTGAAGACTTATGAGAAGATTCTAATATTTCCTTTCCAACTGAGGGTACACTCAAACTTTTATCTTTTAAAACCATTTTGTCACTTAGCACTAAAGAATAACAAGGTGGTTCAGCTCTGACCATCAGGCTATTGAGCCCAGTTGTACTCGTGTTATCTGAAGTGTTTTCTACTAAATAAGACAAATGCCCTACGTCAGCAAACATTTCTGAACAAAGTAAGTCTCCTTACCTTACAATAGCCAATAGTTTTCAGTTAGAAGCATAGCCACAATGAAAAATTCAGGAGGTTTTCAAAGCAGACAGCAGCAAAGTCAAAAAGAAACATGAAAAGGCATTTAATTACTAAAATGTTACTGAAAAATTAAAAATATTTTTACGTGTGCGCACCAAAACACATTTATTATGTAACTAATTATTACAATTATCCAACAAAAGAAACATTTAGTTACTGAATGTGTCAACTTAAGAAGTCTGAATCCAATGAAGTTACTGAACAAACTGTATAAAAAGTCTTGCAACATCACTATAAGCATTTAAAATACTTGCTTGCTTGTATTAAAGTCATGCAATTTTCAATAGGAGTGCACTGATAGAGATTTTCTGGGCCGATACCAATGGCCAATTTTTAACAAACCATATTGGCTGATACCAATCCAATTCCAGTATGCAGCCCCACAGCATGAAGAACGGAGACTGGCTGATAAGTGTATTGCAGGGTGTGGCAAATAAGCATTTAAAATACTTGCTTGCTTGTATTAAAGTCATGCAATTTTCAATAGGAGTGCACTGATAGAGATTTTCTGGGCCGATACCAATGGCCAATTTTTAACAAACCATATTGGCTGATACCAATCCAATTCCAGTATGCAGCCCCACAGCATGAAGAACGGAGACTGGCTGATAAGTGTATTGCAGGGTGTGGCAAAGCACAGGGTGTCTCTGCCACTTTAAGGGCCTGGAGCTGGCAGCCTCCAGGTGTCTGACGAGGGCAGCCATTTTAGAGGCAAGGACTGCCTATATAAACAGTGCAGTTTAGCTGCTTGGGGGTCA